CTTTAGATTATGTATTAATTATATTGATTACTTAAGAATCCCCAGTTATCACTTTGAGGGTTGACAGGTTCCTGTCCCAAGATCAGGCCCAGTATTATTTCAATTATTATATAGTTGGGAACCCCGATGTGCACAGTTGCAACTCACACTATAGGAACTCTTATATTTACAAATATAGTTTATTAATACATTTAGCACAGTCACAAACAGCCCAACTTAGTAAGATAGATGGAGATATAACAGAATGTACATCTACACATCCATATAATCACACCATCTCCTGTAGAACAACCTGAAATGTAAGCCATCATCTTCCTCATCACCATCCCCTTCCCCCTCATCACCAGTGGCCATCATTCTGGCACCTCCCAAGGACTATATCTCCTTCTCTTACTGCCTCTAGGCTGCTATGCCACTTTTATAATATGTTGGCTGATACCTCTATGTTTGATGCATATTCAGTAAGGGATTTTCCCCCTTTTCCTTATTTGTATTTCCTCACCTTACTAATGTTGGAGTGTCTTTTTCCTATTGATTAGTACATCAATGATCTAAACTTATTATTATATACGTCAGTTCATTACCATGGCCCTTTTGTGGTTAGGTATCACGTTTGTTATTTCTGTCCTAACCGGTTATTTTGATTCTTCCCAAGTTGTGGTGTACCTGTTAAGTTTAAAAGGGTATGAATTTAGGAAAGCCCCTATGCCAACCTGCTCAATGCATCCTTTATCTATTGCTCCGAGCCTGTATTGGTGGGTCCTGTGCTTCCAGACGGATTCAGTGGCCTCAGAAGCTCACTGAGGCCCTCGTTATCATAGAATCTCAGGGTTGGAAGGGATCTTAGGAGGTTATCTAGTCCAACCCGCTGCTCAAAGCAGGACCAATCCCCAGACAGATTTTTACCCCAGTTCCCTAAATGGCCCCCTCAAGGATTGAACTCACAACCTTGGGTTTAGCAGGCCAATGCTCAAACCACTGAGCTATCCCTCCCCCCTGGACCTCCCTTTCTCAGTACAGCAGCAAAGGTCACAGCTTATTGAGCTACTTTCATCACAGGCCAGTATGGGAAGTGGGAAGGTGGAATACCCACAGTCTCTGCTGCTTCTTAGAGCTCAGTAGGCGCAGTTTGGACCAAAGTCTGCATCCCCTCTCAAGGGGATCTCTGTAGAGCATGGGGGGAAGAGGGGAACCCTGGCCCACCCTCTACTAGTTTGAGCTCGTTTTGTGCCTTTGCTTTTCTAATCTTGCCCCTGCATTCCTGTGTTGTTTGCCTATATTCATCCTTTGTAATCTGTCCTAGTTTCCATTTTTTATATGACTCCTTTTTATTTTTTAGATCATGCAAGATCTCGTGGTTAAGCCAAGGTGGTCTCGCCACATTTTCTATCTTTCCTAACCAGCAGAATAGCTTGCTTTTGGGCCCTTAATAGTGTCCCTTTGAAATACTGCCAACTCTCCTCAGTTGTTTTTCCCCTCAGTCTTGATTCCCATGGGACCTTACCTATCAGCTCTCTGAGCTTACCAAAATCCGCCTTCCTGAAATCCATTGTCTCTATTTTGTTGTACTCCCTTCTACCCTTCCTTAGAATTGTGAACTCTATGATTTCATGATCACTTTCACCCAAGTTGCCTTCCACTTTCAAATTCTCAACGAGTTCCTCCCTATGTCTTAAAATCAAATCTAGAACAGCTTCCCCCTCTAGTAGCTTTTTCAACCTTCTGGGTTGAAGCCAGGGAAGATAATGGAGCAAGTAATTAAGGAAATCATCTGCAAACACTTGGAAGGTGGTAAGGTGATAGGGAATAGCCAGCATGGATTTGTAAAGAACAAATCATGTCATACCAATCTGATAGCTTTCTTTGATAGGATAACGAGTCTTGTGGATAAGGGAGAAGCGGTGTATGTGGTATACCTAGACTTTAGTAAGGCATTTGATACGGTCACATGATATTCTTATCGATAAACTAGGCAAATACAACACAGTTCATTGAGGTCAGGTGCCGGCATTAGTCTAACGATCTTAACTGGTTAAATTGGCATCAGGTGTCTCGAGTGGCCTGGAGTAGCTTTTGTTTGGCTATCCAGGAACAGGGACCTGTTCATTCCGAGGCTGATATACCTGCCTTCCACTATTCTTATATCCTTCTGGGCTGAGTCTGTCACACTATCTATGGCAAAGGTTGCAGCCATATATGGAACTTATGCTTTAGCTCATCATCATCTATCTAGGTGAAAGGTCCCAAACATATGCATGCTAACTTTGCCCTAGCTCAACATACAGGATGTAGCCTGTAGGTCTCTTGCGTTACAGCCAAAATATACTCTAATATAAATCTATAAACCTATTCTAATAAAACAAACAAGCAGACTAGTCTTAGATGTATCCCATGTACCTGTTATGTACGTCAGTTCGTTTCCAGGACACTTCTGTGGTTGAATCATGACCTGTGGTCAGAACATTCCCATAAACTCTATTTTCAGCTCCCCAAATACTTGGGGTTTTTCGTTGGGCCGTTTATCTATGCAAAGTTCATATGCCTCAAGCCTTATGCTAACTTGATGAAGCTAATGTCTTACAGGATACAGGCCAATGGGAATAGAATGCAAAGCAGTGAATATAATAAAGGCAAGCTAGCCCACTGGCTTACAAGTGCCATTGTCCACTACAAAGTGCCTTTAGTGGTCACTATGAAAATAGTGATGTTCCCCTGTTGCAGTTTCCCATTTGCATAGCAGTCAGCCTGAAGGTTGATACCTCCGCAGGAGTGTGTGTGTGGTGTCTGGATGTACTTCATCGTAATCCTCCCATCTTAAAACCAATATTTTCCTTTAAATTTAAAACCAGGGTGAGATGGCACAGCAGGGAAAATCCTCTCTTTTAGAAAGTTGCTTCATCCTCCCCTTTATCTTGACGGTAAGCATTGAGGTGATGTGAAGCAGCTGCACTTGCTGTCTGTCATTCACCTAAAATCATCTTGCCCCAGTTTTTCCTTTTTAAACATTCTGAAGTTGTAACTCAAGGAAAAGTCTCTTCTGGGCTAGATTAATATTTTCTTCTTAGCAGATCTAACCCAGATATCTACACTATGAAATCTTTCAGATGGAGACCTCGTGTTCCTGATTACTAATTCTCTGTTGCTGCTTGCCTTCTGCATGCTCAATTCTTGTTCAGTGTGTTTTGGCTAGAAGTTGAAGACATTTTTAAGTGACCACTTTAAAGTATACCTAGCCTTTCAGTAAATTCTGTTCATTCTTTACCTAAAGAACACTTCTAACCTAGACATTTCTGGGATTAGGACCTAGTCCATCAAGACCAGGATTGTGCCCAGCAGTGGCCCAGGAGCTGGTGCTTCAGAGAAATGGATAACCCTCTACAATGCACTCACTATAGTCTCTTGTGCAATGTTATTTCCAAAGAAAACAATTTCTTTCTCACCCCTGTTGTTTGTTTGTATTGTGTGAGCACCTACAGGCCCCAATCTGGAATCAAGACTCCATGGTGCTAAGTGCACAGTGCTTCGAAATGGGAGTAGATCAAAGCACACTGGGGAACTTTTAGCGCACGGCAGCAGATCCATACAGATGCTTAGTGCACAGCAGGCTAGCACAGGGTAGATTTATACCCCAGCTTGCTGCCAACTAAATGTTAGTGTAAACAAGCCCTAAGAGGAGAGAGGAGAGGTCGGTACAGCAAACATGGCGAGAGCACAGGTAAGTGAGTTGATTATGAGAAGCACAGGAAGCAGTTGTCCCAACACACCTGCCTGGCAGTCATGTAGACTAGAGTGTTTTGGAGGCATTGGGACAGAGGTGACTTGTAAGGAGGATAGAGCGTAGTGGCTTTGCAGATGTTTCTGGGGAGCCCCTTCGTTGCATAAGGAGCAGTGTGGGAGAAAGCTCAAAGGGGTGTGTAGGAAAATTTGACAAATGGGGATCAGTTTACACCCTGAAGCACGAGGTTATCCTTAGTACAGATAACTATAAAAGCTGGTGGTTATAAAAGTATACAGTCTATTTATTTTTTAATCCAGCTACATGAATTAATTTCACAGCCAGATGATATACTATCTGAAAACTGGTTCCTTTTATTTGTTCTACATTTCCCCATGTGAGTCTTTCGTGTCCTTGTGTTGTGGAAGTGCAAAGGATGGCCTGATCTGGTTTTTGCTGTACCTTTCAGGGGCTTACCTTCTTCAATCCAGTCTCCTCTAACTCTTTATTCTTGTGTTTTATTGATATGAATTTGGACAGTTAGCACCACAAACAAATGGGTGAGTAAAGGGCAATAGGTGCAGTTTGCTTATGATAGTGCTTTAGATTTTATTTTCATCTGGAAATGTATCCTGGGGAGGCAGTTTGGGGTAATGACTTCAGTTTGGGACTCAGAGGCAGGAACTCCTGTGTGCTAATCACAGCTGTGCCACTGATTAACTGAGTGCCCTTAGGTGAGTTGCTTAACTTCCCAGCGTCTGTTTTCCAAGCTGAAAATGTGAGTTATACCACTTACCAGGTAACTCTGGGTGTTGTGAAGTTTGATTAAATCTTTGTAAAACTCTTACAAGGTAGTCTGGTAGCACACAGGGTGCTGAACAGGGAATCCAAAGACCCGAGTCCTGTTCCTGTTTCAGCTATTGATGCAGTGAGTGATTCTGAAGGAGTGACTTACCACTTGGGGCCTCACCTTCCTCATCTGTGAAATGGGGTGAAGAATGCTTTACCCACTTGTGTAAAGATTTTTGCAAACTATGGCTGAATAATTCTATATAAATGCGAAGTATTGTTACTGAAAATAAATGCTCAATGTTACTGTATACTAGCCCCCTTTGAGGGCAGTAACATAATGCACAGTTATGTTTATTTTAACTTGTTTTTGAAGGCCTTTGCTAATGCTGCTGGTGCTAGATTAAACTGGCACTACAGAACATATGTCTTGCTGCACAGGTGTCTGGGAGAAAATGCCTCTTGTGTTAAGTTGTGCAATCTTCCTTTCTCGCAGCGTCCAATAATCTCCATTTGCTGGGGCCACAGGGACTCACGCCTGCTCATGGCTTCCGGCCCTGCACTCTATGTTGTCAGAGTAGAGCACAGGGTCTCCAGCCTGCAGCTCCTATGCCAGCAGACCATCGCTAGCTCTCTGCGGGATGACAAGGATATCAGCAAACTGACTCTGCCTCCTCGGCTCTGCTCATACCTCACCACTGCCTTTATACCAACAATCAAGGTAAAAGGAATCACAGCCTTTTCTTTTTCTTCTTTACCCAACACTTCCCAAGAGATAATGGCAAACCTTTAATTGACTTCTGTGAGGCCAGGATTTCACCCAGTGATTCTCAGTTAGAAAAGAGGAAGATAAAACGAGGGAAACTACTAATGGATCAAAAGCTTTTATACATATCAAAACCAGAAATTAAGGCTAAGAATGCTTCAGAGATGGCCTGTAAAGGAAAAGCCTGTGGTTAACTAGCTATCTCTCTCAGAAAAACTCAGAAGAACCTTATTCTGGTGGCAGCCTTGATCCTCACTGTATTGTTTCTTGGTAGACATGGGTATTTTGGGCTGCATGTGAGGAGGCCTCATGTCACAGAGTAGTGAGGTAACAGTCTCCTCTCTATGCAGCTCTATGCATACCTGGGTATTCTGCTCAGTTCTGCTCACAAGTGTAATTGAGAGCACAATTAGAAGATAAGGGGGTTGAGCAAATGGCCCCGCGATTAGAACTTGGTAAGCAATTCTGTTGATGATACACAAGAAGGGATACTATTTAGATCGTTTTCTCTTATCTGTTTTGGCTCAGCGAGGCTAGCAGGAGTGAATGGCAGTAAAAACTTGTCTTCATCATTCATTTCAACAGATGTGATTCTGGATTTACACAGGGAATGGGTCTGCTATGTAAGGAGGTGCCATTTTGTAAATAGTCACTTTCCAGAGTAGAGTCAGACTGTGAAATTATTTAATTTCACCCATATTCACAATGATTTTTCCAAAGGGTATAATAGATTCACCCCAACTATAACAGAGTCTCACTCTGTGAGTCTCATGCCACTGGTAGATAACAGCTACTTGAACAGCTCAAAGGTCTGAGTGATTGGATCATTTACCATTCTAATGGCTGGTAACACCGATTCTTCAGTTCTTCTCTTTCCACGGATAGAACTGCAAGCTCCTCTTAAGTGCTGCTGTTCAGTGCTTCAATTTTCACCTATTTTCTAGCTTAAGCAGCTTGATGCTTTAAAGTTGCTGCTTTATTCTTGTGCCTTTCAGTTCCTACAGCTAAGTGCTCATTTTTATACTTTCCTGTTTAAAAGAACTAAATTCTTTGATTAGTAGCTGGAAGTCAGGGCTTTGGCATGCTAAGCCTCTGTCATGTACTTCTTTTATTGATGTGAGTCCAGTCTGTTTAGAGAGTATATTTTGGTTTGGGTCACTTTTTTCCCCCTTTTTAAAGAATGTACCAGATTGCATCAAATGCAGTGTACTAGTACTTAAAAAAAAGATTAATACAAAGGGGATGGATTCCCCAAGACTCCGTACAAAGGCTTTATCCACCCCACTCTAAGGGCTTGGCTACACTTGCGAGTTACAATGCAATAAAGAAGCTCCGGGCGCACTAGCTCACTACCCGTCCACACTGGCAAGGCACGTAGAGCGCTCTGACTCCGCGGCTACAGCTGCTGGTACTCCACCTCGGCGAGAGGAATAACGTTTGCTGCATCTTGGCTACAATGCCTGGGCTTCAGTGTGAACGAGGTGTTGCGTTACTGCGCTCTGATCGGCCTCCGGAAATGTCCCATAATCCCCTTACGTCAAGTGGCCACTCTTGTCATTGTTTTGAACTCCTGTAGGAATGTGGAAATGCCCTTTCAAAGCTCCGTTTCTGACAGCCGGCTTGCAGGCCATTACTGTGGAATGCTGTGTGAGAGAGAGAGAGAGAGACGGGGGGGAGGGGAAGATCTGCTGCTGTCTGAACTTACAAGACAGCATGCTGACATGCTCTCAGCCCCCTCAAAAACCCACTCTCTCCCCCCCACATACACACAACACACTCCCTGTCACACTCCACCCCACCCCTCCCATTTTAAAAGCACATTGCAGTCACTTGCATGTTGGGATAGCTGCCCATAATGCACCACTCCCAATGCCACTGCAAGTGCCACAAATGTGGCCACGCCAGTGCACTTGAAGCTGTCAGTGTGGACAGACTGCAGCGCTTTCCCTACTGTGCTCTACAAAGGCTGGTTTAACTCAAAGTGCTCTACATCTGCAAGTGTAGCCATGCCCTTAAAAACTCTGTATTTTGTGGACTGCTGAAATTATATTGCTGAGGTCACTTGCACCTGCCAGACCATATTTTAGGATTAGAAAATATGGTTTATAGTGACAGATTCAAGGCGCTCAACCTATTTAGCATAACAAAGAACAGGTTATGGGGTGACTTGATTACAGTATCAACATGGGGAACAAATATTTAATAATTCTCTCTTCGATCTAGCAGAGAAAGGTATAAGACAATCAAGTGGCTGGAAGTGGACAAATTCAGATTGGAAATAAGGTGTATTTTTTTAATAGTGAGAGTAATTAACCATTGGAACAATTTACCAATGGTTGTGGTGGATTCTCCATCACTGGTCATTTTTAAATCAAGTCGGGATATTTTTCTAAAAGATCTGCTCTAGGAATTATTTTGGGGAAGTTCTATGGACTCTTACACAGGAGATAACACTAGATCAGTGGTTCCCAAACTGGGGTTCGCGAAATGTTACAGGGGGTTCTCGGGAAAAAATTCCCTAATAGCGGATAGAGCTGTCCCTAGGCCCCCCTGGCAGCACGTGGCCAGCAGCCTGGAGCCCCTGAACTTCCAAGAGCTAAGCAGATCAAAGCAAGCATATCTATCACACTGAGGAGATTTAAACTTCAAGACTCCTTATAAGAAATGGAAACGGAGGTGGATATTTTTTGCTGTTTTTAAAATGAAATAAGCAGCTAGTATTGTTTTTAAAATTATTATGAAGAACAAGTTTAAGCTTTGTTGTAACGTGCGTTGTTTGCCTGGACTGCTCAAGACCTGAATGCTTGTGTAGGAGGAACTCTGTGAGTTGGCTTCTCAAATACCTTCATGCTGTTTCACATCTGATACTCCTTGATGAAACATAGGTGCCTTGTTTTATAACAGGCTTATTCAAAGTGCTACAAGCTATGAAAGTGAGATCTTGGAAGAGTGTGGCCGTTTTCATAATGTAATAAAAATACTGTAACGATAAATAATAATTAATAATAATAATAAATAGTGTGTAATAAGCATGTCATAACAACAAATTTTATATTTCCAAGATCACTGCTTTTATAATTTATACTCAGGTAAAGGAGAAAATCCCTGGAAATACTCATTTTTAGGAGGGGGTTCACAAGACTTGACATTTTAGTGAAAGGGGTTCACAGGTTGTTAAAGTTTGGGAACCACTGGACTAGATGATCACAATGGTTCCTTCTAGCCTTGCAATCTGTGACTCTTTCCTCTTTCCCCTAGGATGTCTCTTAGCTCCCAGTCCTGCAAACATGCATGTGAATAGTCCCAAAATGGACTAAAAACTTATTTTAGTCACTAAAGTAAGCATTAAGAGGCTACTCATGCGCAGAGTTCTCACATGTACCAATTTTGTGTGTTCATCTTATCTCTTTCTTGTTCCTGTTTCATTATATTGGGTCAAATTCATCCCCTGTTTATACCAGGGGTAGGCAACCTCACACTGCCTGGGTCATGGCCACTGGTCCGGGGGGTTCTGCATTTTAATTTAATTTTAAATGAAGTTTCTTAAACATTTTAAAAACCTTATTTACTTTACATACAACAATAGTTTAGTTATATATTATAGACTTATAGAAAGAGACCTTCTAAAAATGTTAAAATGTATGACTGGCACGCGAAACCTTAAATTAGAGTGAATAAATGAAGACTCGGCACACCACTTCTGAAAGGTTGCTGACCCCTGGTTTATACCAATAATATAGAGTAATTACATTGTAGACAATGGAGTTAGTCCAGCACTGTTTAAAACGAGAGCAAACCATGCCTATAATATAATGCAGTGTTGTTACACTGTGAATCATGCTTGTTTATGAAAAACCGTTTTGTGTACTGCTAATTAGGTAATTTGTGTGCACAGAAATCCCAGAAATATCCCAGTGCAGGGTTCTATTATAACTGGTACCTTTGCAGAAGACTTACTGTATGTGTAATTCTTTGCTCTCAGAAGGTATGTAGTATATAATAGACCTCTACTAACCTGGTACCTGCCTTTCTCTCAGAGTTAAGGATACTTATTTTACGTCCTGCTCAGTTTTTTTCTTTATATTCATTTTGAACCAAACTGAGGAGTGTTGATTTTATGTTATTAGCAGTATTTGTTTTACTGCAATGTCCAAAAGCCGCATTGTGCAAGGCACTGTACAAATACAGAGACAGTCCTTGCCCATAGAGTTTACAATCTAAATAGACAAGCCAGACAAAGGAAGGATTATTAGCCCCATTTTACAAATGGAAAACTGATCTGCAGAAAGACTGAGGCCTCAGTTCAACAGAGCTCTTAAATCACTTGCCTGAGGTCACATAAGTAGTCTTGGAAGAGCTGGGAATTGAACTCAGATTTCCTGGATCCCAGTCCAGTGTCATCTTAATCACAAGACAATCCTTCCTCTTAAACCGTAGCTAACTTTTATAGTCTGTGTACAATAACCGATCGAATCAGCAGGCACGTGAGTCCTGGTGGTGGGTGATTCGATAGCTCAGACATTAATCTATGCTAATTCTGAGCTATCCCAGGCCATATTCACTGGGTAGGGATGGTATTATATAACAACCTAACTCCAGAGAATAAGAATGACATACGTTTCTCTTTCCTCCCTCCATTCAATTTAGCCTCCTATCCCAGACCCCAACAATATGAGAGATTTTGTCAGCTATCCAACAGCTGGCAATGAAAGGCTTCACTGCACGATGAAGCGGACAGAAGATGATCCGGAGGTCGGAGGTCCATGCTACACGCTATACTTGGAATACCTAGGGGGACTGGTACCTATCCTAAAAGGGCGCCGAATCAGCAAACTGCGGCCAGAATTTGTCATTATGGATCCTAAAACCGATGGAAAAGCAGGTATCATATTTTTATAAGTGGATTGTTTATATTTGTAAAAATGCTTATTGAGAAAGGGTTTAGACTGAAAGTCAGAGATTGAAATCCTCTTTGTCCACATAACTAGTATAGCATGAAGCAATTACAAAGCTGTTTTTTGTCATGTGAAAATGTCTCCACTGTGGCCTAGAATCAAGCCACCAAACTCATTTCATGTTGGCTTTTGGTTTATAAAATATAACTTCTTGCAGATTGGTTGGTGAGGAGTGGATCACTAATTAACAATAAATATTTTTCAATCAATGTCTGGGAGTCACCTGATACAATTGAACACTATTCCCCTGAATTCAGGCCATCGGAAATTTTGAGTTTATACTTGGCAGTAAACACTCCCTGCTAGACTTTTATCTTAGCTACTGGTTTTTCCCCCTGATGACTGACAGTTGTAATTGAGATCAGGTTTCTAAAACAGTTCTTACATTTTTGGGGGCCTGTCTTGGTAGATGAAATCTATGGAAACAGCTTGATTTCCACTGTGATTGACAGCTGCAACTGCTCAGATTCCAGTGATATTGAACTGAGCGATGACTGGGCTGCGAAGAAATCTCCCAAAATCACTCGAGCTAGCAAATCACCCAAACTCCCCAGGTAATGGTTTCTTGGGTATTTTTCCTTCTTTTCTGTGGGTCTGTTTTTTTGTTTTGTTTTGTTTGTTTTTGTTTTTTTTAAATCTTGTCATGACACAACCTAAATTAAAGCAAAGGAGGATGTTCTAATGCCTTTCATAAGAAAGAATTTGCCTGTGGAAATTACAGCTTTTCAGGGTCTTTTTTTTTTCTCTGAGGAAGAACAATTCAGACCTTCTCTGTGGTAAGCTGTAATAATAATAATAATAATAATAGGCAAACTCCACTGCCTTGGTCTGCCTCTCACAAATAGCTAATCAGATCAGAAAAAATAGTCTAAGGCACACTCTGTGTCCAAGATAGCAAAGGAATAGTCTGTAGCTTCTCTAGTTCATTCTTTAGCCTGTTCTGTTCGCTCCCCAACACGCACCCAGATGCACACTCAATATTTAGATGGAAACTGTAAGGGGAGTGGAGCAGGGATCTGTTTTTGCTTAATAGAAAGTATTTTGGATTTGTAATGAAAGTGCTAAATGTAGAAAGATGTGTCAACTGAGTTGTCTTGTCCCAGTGACTGGAGGAAAAATTGTGAGTGTTTCATCATGTGCTTTCTAAGCAGCTGTCAATTGTTGATAATTCATTCTGCAATAATGTCCATCCAGGCTTTGCAGGACGGGCAGCAAGTTCAACATTATTATTATTATTATTATTTATTATTTGTATTGGAGTAGCACCCATGGGCCCCAGTCATGAATGAGAGCCCCATTATGATAGGTGCTGTGCAAACATTGCCCCCACTAGCCAGGATGAAGGGGCGTTCTACTCAAAGAAAATATTTTTTTTCCAGCTCTGTGTTACGTGATATCTTAGGTACACATATATGCACACAACATAATTCTCTATTGTTCTTTTTGTTTTGCATTTCACCATTAAACAGGGCCTGACCCTGCAAGCCTGGGCTCTGGTCCTCCAGTGCCATGTGCACAGGCAGAATCCTGGAGCCCTGTTGATATCAGTAAGGCTACCTGCATATCCAGGGTCTACCTGCATGCATTGTGTTACATTTGTTTCATTATTTTCTCCACTGATGGCCCTTTTCACCCCTTCAGACTCTCACTCTGGAACATCATTTACAATGTTTACGTACATGAGGGAGGCGTACGTAATTTTTTTTATGCTCAGAGGAGCACTGACCAAGTTTGTGAAATCTTGGTTTTCACTGGTGGTACAGGTGTCCAGTAGCCAAAGTATCCTCTTTATGTTCTCATGGACACTGTCTAAAATCAGTGCAATCTAATAATATATTCTTATGCCTTTATGTGGAGTATAAATTGCATCATCTTAACCTCCCTTTTGCATCACTAATCAGATCTAAGGGAATCTGAGTCTAAGTCAGTGTAACAGAATCTGATTTATATCTCTTTACATATTACCTTTGAATTTTGCCCATAAGATTTAAGATTCTATCCATTAAACTAAGCAGACTTTGTGTAATCCTACCACTTTCTACTGTAGCTTACATCACCTAAAGAGAACATGCCAGTTTTCTTCACTGTACTTAGTGTATACAGAAATGTTAAGTATGTCCATCTGTATGTGCCTGATAACTCTAATTATTGCTTTACATGAAGAATTAATATAGATGCCCGCAAATCTCCAAAGTTGTCGCGAGCTGCTCAGGAGATATCAAGATCTCCAAGGTTACCAATAAGGAAACCTTCTATTGGTTCACCAAGCCTAACTCGACGAGAGTTTCCATTGGAAGATATCACTCAGGTATTGCATGACTGCATAATTACCAGACCTGTACCTAAATATATCTTCTCTTTCCAGAAACAACAGTTTATAATATATATCCAGTGGTGACCATTGAAAATCTGTCATTTAATCGAGTTACTATGCAATGGTATCTGAGATTCTAGTTATGTCTCTGTATTTATAATAGGAGACATTGGTGGAATCTCAGATAGCATTATGTGGTAATAGCTGGTAAATGATGAGGGTGCTCGCTCCATTGATTTCACAGGGGCTGCGATTTCACCCTGACTTTTTAAAAGGCAACCATTTATCTTAGGAATCCTTATATAACAGACTTTTAAATTCCAGTTGATATGTTCTTGGCTGTCGAATGGCCTATGTAGAATTATTTTCTAGTCCTTATTCAGTTCTTTGTGGTTAGGTATTGGTATCATAATACCAATATAGTCACCAGCTTTGTTGTCAGTCTACAGAGACAAAGGAGTTTAATGGGTCAGGGGACAGAACCATCCTGTCCTCCACAATTGGTTCTGACAGGTGATGGTGGGAACACCATGTTGGGGAAGCAAGCACTTTTGCTGTTTGTGTTGTGCACAGTCCATGGGTAAATGAAACACTCCATGCCCCAGGACTGCCTAGCTCACCCATTTCACTAGCACTAAATTTATCTTTTTGTATTTCTTTATATATTTTCTGTATTTAAAATACGCAAATGGTAATGCTTGGTTTTTGAAATGTTCTGGATCACTTATAGCAGCAATAGAAAATAGGGCAGAAGTCCAGTGGGCATGATACTTACCCATCAATTAAAATGATAATATAATAATGATACTCACTGTGGTACAGTGCTTTGGGATCTCTGGAAAAATATGCTGTATAAATGCTTATTAATAATTCCTTTCTATGTATTTATTCTTCTCTAAGTGGTTCTTAAACATAAAATCCAATGAGAAAATTATATGCTATCTTGTGATGGTTTACTGCAAAGATATAGAAATGATACACTATGCTATTGTGTGGGAGAAGCAAGGATCAAAACTATGCCGGTCTTACTGGCCAGCTGCAGTGCTCTCCAGTTCTCCCTGCTGCCAAGTCTTCCACCAAGTTGTTTGTGTCGTTGCCATATATCTGATTCATGCGAGCTACTGTGATGGTGGCCAGATAGCAAAATGCGACAGTAGCAAAATACAGCCCTGAATGAAGGGGTGTACTTAGTGGATGGTTAGAGATGTTAGGCCACTGCAAAAAAGAGAATGAGATGCAATTGTCTTATACCTGAAATAGCTTTAGTGCTCTGAATATTCTCTCACAAGAGAGCAGACAGTAATATTTATAAGTGAGTCACGTGTAGATATTTCATTTAGTTTCTACAAAGCAGTGCTATATTATTTTTTGAAAACAAATATTTACTTTTGCTAATTTTGTAGGAGCCAAATAAACTTTAAACCTTTTTTTTTTTTTCTTTGCAGCACAACTACCTTGCTCAAGTCACGTCTAATATCTGGGGAACCAAATTTAAGATTGTGGGTTTGGCTGCTTTCCTACCAACTAACCTTGGTGCAGGTAAAACTGACCCCTCTTGATTTTTCCAACCTTGAGCTCTTGCTAACAAATAACAAACACACACTCCCTACAATTTTCTTTAAAGTGATGAAGAGGCTGCTTTAGTAATGCTGTTAATCTGAGTCACAGGGAAATTTTAGTGTAATTGCAATTTAAATCCCTAAATCCAACAACAACTCAGTCAAAAAAAGATCCATTAAGAATCAAACCAGAACCTGCCATTTTGACAGTTCGGTTATTTGAACTAGGATTGAAAGAATAATCTTTCCAGTTAGAAAGCTTCAGAAATCAGGGAGCTTCTAAGTTATTGTAAGGAAGTGCTATAATTAAAAAAAAAAATGTATTATTTTTTACAACTGTTCTAACAACTATTATACATATCAAAATAACTTTAAAAAGATCTTACCTTACAGCAACTTTTCCAGAGCTTTTAATGGGGGAACTCAATTATTTGCACTGTCACACAGCTCTCTTGCTTAGACAGCAGCAAAATGGTTGCCCTCACTGAAAGGAGCCTTATACACTTTGGGCCCTATTCTCCCACCCTTGTGTTGGGTAGGCCTTATCTCCAAGTGTGGTCCCTTTGATGTCAGTAGGAGCAGAGTAAGGTCCCATTCACCATGATTAAGGGTGGCAAAATTGGGGTGTGGGTGAAGATACTGAAGCAGTTATAGGAATTTCTAAAAACTCTTTTGAAAACCCCCTTTTTTAATTGTATATTCTTATTTAGTAGAGATGGGACCAGGCAACAATGCCCTGAATTGGATCCAGATCAAAACTTCCCCATGGCCATTTGGAGTTTGGGTTTGGCCACATCTTTGTTACTTATGAAAGATTTATACAGAGTAGCTTTTTAATGGTCTAGCTTTTTATGGTCTAGACAGTATTTGGTCCTGCCATGCGGGCAGGGGACTGGACTCGATGACCTCTCGAGGTCCCTTCCAGTCCTAGAATCTATGAATCTATGAATGGGATGTCACTAATCTCTGGAGTTTTCATTGAATCTCTTGTTGAAAGTCTGAACAATGTGAATATTTAACCCTAAAGTGGATATTATTGCCGTTAGCTTTCAAATTTATTTCATAGAATAATAGAATATTAGGGTTGGAAGAGACCTCAGGAGGTGATATAGTCCAGGGGTGGCCAACCTGTGGCTGCGGAGCCACATGCGGCTCTTCAGAAGTTAATATGCGGCTCCTCATATAGGCACTGACTCCAGGGCTGGAGCTAGAGGCGCCAACTTTCCAATGTGCTGGGGGTTGCTCACTGCTCAACCCCTGGCTCTGCCATAGGCCCTGCCCCCACTCCACCCCTTCCCCCCCTCCCCTGAGCCTGCCGTGCCCCCGTTCCCCCCCCCCCCCCCGCCTCCTGCATGCCACGAAACAGCTGATCAGGAGGGAGGTGTGGGGTGGGTGGGAGGAGCTGGGAGCAGGGGTGGAGAGCTGATGGGGGGCTGCTGATGTATTACTGTGGCTCTTTGGCAATGTACATTGGTAAATTCCGGCTCTTTCTCAGGCTCAGGTTGGCCACCCTTGATCTAGTCCAATCCCTTGCTCAAAGCAGGACCAACACCAACTAAATTATCCCAGCCAAGGCTTTGTCAAGCCAGGCCTTAAAAACCTCTAAGGATGGAGATTCCACAACCTCCCTAGGTAACCCATTCCAGTGCTTCACCACCCTCCTAGTGAAATAGTGTTTCCTAATATCCAACCTAGACCTCCCCCACTGCAACTTGAGACCATTGCTCCTTGTTCTGTCATCTGCCACCACTGAGAACAGCCTAGCTCCATCCTCTTTGGAATCTCCCTTCAGGTAGTTGAAGGCTGCTAGCAAATCCCCGCTCACTCTTCTCTTTTCCAGACTAAATAACCCCAGTTCCCTCAGCCTCTCCTCATAAGTCATGTGCCCCAGCCCCCTAATCATTTTTGTTGCCCTCCGCTGGACTCTCTCCAATTTGTGCACATCCTTTCTGTAGTGGGGGGAACAAAACTGGATGCAATACTCCAGGTGTGGCCTCACCAGTGTCGAATAGAGGGGAATAATCAGTTCCCTCGATCTGCTGGCAATGCTTCTACTAATACAGCCCAATATGCCGTTGGCCTTCTTGGCAACAAGGGCACACTGCTGACTCGTATCCAGCTTCTTGTCCACTGTAATCCCCAGGTCCCTTTCTGCAGAACTGCAGCTTAGCCAGCAACTATTTGAAGAAGTATCTTTATTTAAACCCCGCCCATCCTGAACTGGAGCCTTAAAGTAACTACTACTATTTAATGCAGGGCTTGACTCTCCTGCCGGCACAAGAGAGGTGCAAATAGCACCACCCTGTACCAGTGGGGAAAATGTGCCCCTGAGGGGATTAACCTCCTCGGGAGGGCAAGAGTTTTTGGAGTTTATGCCAGAGCAGGGAAGCTTTACATTGCAGCCAGGGCTTCATCTCTTGTCATGGAAGAACTAATGAAATTACAAAATAGTACCTATCTAATTCAACTAGGTCTCAGTCCTGCACCCACTGAGTGTTGCTATTGATGTCAAAGGATGCAGGATCAGATTCGTAGGTACTAATGCCATGCTCGTCACTGGGCTATGTTAAACAAGCTTCCTGAGTTCCTCTGCTTGGGATAGGAGCAATGTTTGTCCTGACTAAGGAGCGGTATTGTGTAACTGTACAGGATGATCCCTACATTTCATTATTATTATTTATATACAGCGCCATGCCCCCAAAAAGCTTACACAACAATATTTTTACAACCCCCATATTTGCAAGGATTGACCCTCACATTTTTACATAGTGAGATTTAGGGGGAAACAGGACAAAAAATCCTTTAGGAGGTGATGGTAACAACCCTTTTCCTTCTCTCCTTGATCCAGTGAAAAATATTAACTGGCTCCAATGGCCTGTTGTACTGACATGTAGAAATTCAATATTTGTGTAGATCTAAACTCCTATAGAGTAGATAACTAAAGCGATGCTGCCTCTAGTTAAGGACGAGTAACTAAAAAAACAATCCCAGAAAACTTCCATGTAGCAAGGATCCACCTCTGAAGTCCTGCTACTGTAATGTATTTCATGATTGTTTGGTTAAACACAAGTACATACATTTGTTTGTTAACCAAACTACATAAAATCAATTCCAGCCCTACTCTCTGCTTTAAATTGATTTCTCTTGATTCTCTGTTCTGTTGAACTCTGGATCTTCTTTTAGCCTCTCTATCTAACAAGTATTTTTCCTGTTTCCCCCCCCTCCCCCTTTCCAAGTGATTTATAAAACCAGCTTGCTGCATCTCCAGCCCAGACAGATGACTATTTATCTCCCTGAAGTGCGTAAGATTTCCATGGACTACATTAACCTGCCTGTCTTCAACCCCAATGTTTTCAGTGAAGATGAAGATGATTTACCAGGTGAGGTTGAATTCAATGTCTGCACCATTCCATGGGCTTGGCTAGTTTTGAGGACAGATTCTTTCACTCCCTGGCCCCACTCCTGTAAATAAACAAACAGAGCAAGTCCCCATTCTCTGAGTTCCCTTTATGGAAAGGTCCTATAGAATTTCATAGGATTGAAACTAAAAGGGTTCTATAGACATTGCTTTTAAAAGCCTATAGAATTTATTAGAGAATTACATCCCTATGAAAGAATTCCATTGCTTAGTTTAAAGTGCAGCAGAAAGCTAAACATCCTCTATTAAATTCTACAGCAATTCTCCATAGAGTGAAGCCCTTTATATACATCTATGGGGAACTAATATTGTAGAAGCCTCTCAGACCCATTCTTGTGATGTGACAGCAGCAGCACTGCTGTGCAAGACACTTGGGTTTGAGAGCAGCTGAGATTCCCAGAGCAGCAAAGACTCTGCCCAATTGGGAAATGTGATATGCTCATTCAGTTTTTTATTTATAATTATGATTACAAGGATGGCAGGAATATTCACGTAGCCTCTTTTTAATGTTATAATCTGGGAGGATATTTACATGATCATCCTGCCCAGACATGAGAGACATAATGGGAGACCCCAGCAATGCAGGCAGAATTGAGGATGTAGACATGGCAAATGAAAGCGGGTGGAGGCACCAGGATCTCCTTCTATAAAATGAAGCCATGCAAATAAAGAGGCTGGTGCAGCAGCAAAACATTTAAATTACTTTGTTTGCATCATTCCTATAGTGTAGAGGGCAATGGGGAAATTCCTGTTCCAAGGTCACGTTTCAGGGGAATCCAAAGTGTGGCTTCATGGAGACTCAAGTCTCTTTAAGGAGGAAGGTGTGGAAGAAAGTTGAAAAATTACAAGCCAATAAGGACTTGGTCTAAAGACCAATGGGAAAGGCTCCTGTTGCCTTTCCTGGGATTTTGGATTGGGCCCTAAAGCCCTGATCAGTTAAAGCACTTGACAATGTGTTTAACTTCAAGCATCAAAGTAGCCCCATGGACTTCAATGGGACCAATCAGATGCTTTAAGTGCTTTGCTGAATCACCAGGCCTTTGATGGTATTCAGCCAAGAACACTGAAGGAACTAAAGCACAAAGCTGTGGAGACATGGAGGAGGGGATTTAGTATGTATTTGAATACAAATGCTGTTCTCAGCATTAGATATTTCCTAACATGGAGCTCGATCCAGCTGCCATGAACATCAATGGAAAGACCCCCATGGACTTCACTGAGAGTTGGATGGATCCATAATGCCTATTCCTTTTATTTGAAAGGAGCTAAAAGACGTGCTGTGTGAGCCTCACCTCAGTTTTAGGGAGACTGGGGGAGAGTTAAGGAAAGTGCAGTGCAATATTTGAACAAGTATAACCTCATCTGATCAAACTACCATGAGATCTGATAGAACTCTTTAAAAGCGAATAAAAAAACATACTGTCCTGTTCTCCTCAGCAGTCTTCCTCTTCTTATCCACTTCTCTTTTCTGTCAAATTTCTCCTGACAATTCACTTCTGACCTAGCAAATAGAATTTATGTAGATTTTCAAAAAGCTTCCCACAAGGTCTCTTACAAGAGACTATTAAGGAAAATAAATAGCCATGAGGTAATGAAGAATATCTTGTAGCTTACATAGTGCTTGAGCACTAGGAACTAAAGCTATAGTAAACAGCTGCTCTTGGGCTGAAGACCAGTCAATAGTGAGGTGCCCCAGGGGCAAGTTTAATATAACCACTAATGATTTTGAAAGGAAAACGAACAATGAATTGATTTAATTTGCATATTATGCAAAAAATCAATTAGGAAAAAGCCATTGGGGAATGTGAGAAACTCCTGCTAGATTTAAACACTTTGGGATCTCTGACACCATGATGGCAAATGGAAATTTGACTTGGATGAATGTAAAGTACATATAAAGCTGTTCAAGCTAAGATAATAATCAAATCTCATGCTTCAGGTAATAGATTGATAACCTGTGGACATCAGAAAAAATGTATGACAAGCCAAAAGTATATTTTGCACAGCTGGCCAGATATTTTATGGTTCTGTTTGTTTATTTTAGCTTTTTCCCTTCCTCTAAAACAACCTGGCAGAATTGCCCTGAAAATTTACCAGCCCAGCCACAAAAATCTACTCACCTACCCTTTGCCATGATGATTGATGTTGATGAAAAAGCTAATGCTATCAGAACAAAAGTTATCCTTGGTGAGTGGGTGAGTAGAATTTTGCACAGATATTCTAAAGAATCAGGTATTGGCCATGACTAGAGTATTCCAAACTAGATGGATCTATGGTTTGATTTGGTCCCATCTTTCTATGGGTATCATACACTCTAATAATCATGGAGACAAATGTAATAGATTTACATACAAATGTAAGTTCTAATTCACCAGTCATCCTTCATATCCTTTATTTAAGAAGAATCATCAGGGAAGTTTGCAAAATTCTTGGGGTAATTACTATGCAACAATTATCCCTTGCTTATCATACTGTCCATTTAGGTCAGATATTGCCGGAAATCAAACCTGTACTTGTACTTTGTACAGAATTAATTGCACTGTAAAAAGGTGAAGTCTAACAAAGGGGAGAGTCTAATAAGGCTTCTGTGTTAATCCACATCACAGCGTGAGTTGACTCCCTTACTCACTGCAGTGGTGATGAAACTAGTCTCTTAGCTTTTTCTTTTCCTCTCTGCCTTCATTTCCTTTTGTTGGCACCATGTGTTTCCTTTTAACTCTGCCACTTCTTTTCATTTTGACTCCTTTTCTTTCCCTTCTCACATCACTGTCCCACCCACTAATCCCCACCCTTCGCGCTCCACTCTCATTCACTAATTCTGTCCCTGATCCAAAGGTACCAACATTTTAGAAAAAAACTTTTCCAAGATAATCCTATGAAGGTGAAAGGACTTTAGGGGCTCTAGGGGCAAGAATGTGTTTGGGTAGGAGGGTGTCAAGTTGAGGCTTGGGTGGGGGTACAGGAGGGGTTGAGAGGGAGACAGGAGGATATCTTGTGGTTTGGGATGGTCTGAGGGAAGCAGGAGGGCAGTCGATAGCTCATGGGGAGTTGCCAGAAATGAAAAGGAGGTACCTGATTTGGCTTCTGCCCTTTCCACTCCATTGAAACAATCCTGGCCAAGGTCACTAATCCTCATTTGTCGTTGTGATTTATCAGCTGCCCTCAGCACTGTAGAGCACTCTTTCTTCTCCCATCTATTTTTGTTCTTTTCTTGGCTTCTGTGAATTGGTGCTCTTTTGGTTCAACGGCTCCTCATCGCCTCAGTCTCTTGGTGTCCCTTATGACCTGGGCTCTCATTCACTCCCTTACTTTCAACAACCAACATGTATGTGGGTGTTTTCCAAATCTACCCCTCTATCCCGAACCTCTCCCCATCTACCCAGTTTTGCATCACAAGCTACCAATAAGCACTTCCTCTAGGAGCAGCACCACTAGTTCCAAGCTCAGTCCTGAAATTCTTGGGCCACACCATACATTGGTGTAAATTGAAATCAGTTGAGTGACAGCAGTTTACATCAGCTAAGAATATGGCCCTTTATTTTTCCTCCTGACCTCTTTTCACCTTCTCCTTTCTCAGTCTCCATTGACAACTTTATGAACTCTTCTGTCTCCTGTCCTCAAAATCTCAGTGTCCTTTTTGACTCTTCTTTCTCTTTCTCCTCACACTATAGTCAGTCTCTCGCTAATGATCTGATCCTGTTCCCATTGAAGTCAATGGGAACATTGCTGTTGATTTCAATGGGAGCTGGATCAAGACCCATGTCTTGTTGCTGCTTTCTAGTGAATATCACCAAAATCTATCCTTTCCTCACTATCTCCACTGCTAAACCCTCATTCACACCTGGGCCCTCTTTCACATTTGATGATTGTAACCTTCTCTTACACTTGACTTTTCACCTATCCCAGTTCCAGTCTATTCAAAATGTTGCTGCTAAAGTCATCTTCCCTCCCCAGTGCTCTGACCACATTACCCTATCCTTGAATTCTTTCATTGGCTTCCTGTCTGTTACGGCATCAAATCCAATACCTGGCAATCATAGTGACTGTAGCTGCATGTCTGTTTCATTTCCTTCATCCCACCCTTCCGCTCCCTATGATTCTCCCATTTCTCTTGTGGTACTGTTGCCTTTGTCAACCTTCCCATGCTGTCCTATGCTCTTGCAATACTCTAACTTTTCTTGTCCATCTCTGTCTCCTCCTTCAAATGCCCCCTAAAAATCCACTATTTCCATGAATCATTGTCCTCACCAGTAATAGACTCAGCCTTCCTTTTCCTGAACAGTTGTTCTGTGTCTTGTCTACCTTAGATGACAAGTTTGCGCCTTCCTGTCTGTTAGGAAATTGCCACATAAATTTATGGTGCTGTACAAAGCCCTAACCCATCAAAACACTTTAACCAGTGTTTCTCAAACTGGGGTCGCCGCTTGTGTAGGGAAAGCCCCTGGCGGGCCGGGACGGTTTGTTTACCTGCCCCGTCCGCAGGTCCGGCCGATCGCGGCTTCCACTGGCCACGGTTCGCCGCTGCAGGCCAATGGGAGCTGCTGGAAGCGGCGCGGGCCGAGGGACGTACTGGCCGCTGCTTCCAGCAGCTCCCATTGGCCTGCAGCGGCGAACCGCGGCCAGTGGAAGCCGCGATCGGCCGGACCTGCGGACGAGGCAGGCAAACAAACCGGCCCGGCCCGCCAGGGGCTTTCCCTACACAAGCGGCGACCCCAGTTTGAGAAACACTGACTTAAACCCACGTGTAGTCCCATTGTCTTTAATCTGGGACTACTTCCTTGCCTAAAGTTATATGCATATTTAAGTGCTTTGCCAGATCAGGGCCGAAATATTGTCATTAGTTGGATTATGAATGATGGTGTATTATGGATTGCCAGTAGCACAGATAAAATAAAGTTATTTTGCAGCACATGAGGAGGGAATCTAATAATCTCCTATTTTCCTTTTTTATTATAACAGTCTCTAAACTGTGTTTATTTTGATTCTTATTGCAGTAACTGGAGCATCTGGAGTCCCTGAGAACAACCCCCCCTGCACCGTCAATATCCCTATTGCTCCTATTCACAGCTCAGCGCAAGCTATGTCACCGACTCAGAGCATAGGACTGGTCCAGTCCTTGTTGGCCAATCAGAACGTGCAGTTGGATGTCTTGACCAATCAGACGACAGCAGTGGGGACAACAGAGCACGTGGGTGATAGTGCAGTGCAGTACCCAGTCTCAAGCAGGTACTCCAATCCAGGACAGGTGATTTTTGGAGGAGTGGAAATGGGGCGCATCATCCAGGCACCGCCTCAGTTATCCCTGCAACCGCAGGGTGCAATACAGATGGCGATAATGGATCACAGAGACGGAGACAGAGACCACGAACATCACCAAAAGGCAAAAACTTTACGGACAGTGCAGCAGCTGGCAGAAGGGGACGCTGTTGTCTTCAGCACCGCACAAGAAATACAACTGAACAAAATGAACCCGCCCCCTCCTTACCCTGGAACCATACCAGCCGCTCCCACTGCACCACCGCCTCCCCCGCCTGTCCCGACCCAGCCACCTATGGATCTCTGTCTGAAAAAGGGAGACTTTTCTCTTTATCCAGCAGGACATTATCAGACCCCTCTTGGCTATGAGCGAATAACGACCTTTGATAGCAGTGGGAATGTTGAAGAGGTATGCCGGCCTCGAACGAGGATGCTGAATACTTATACCCTGCCAGGTCCCGGCAGCTCTGCCACTTTAAGGATTACAGCAACAGAGAAGAAAATCCAGCAGCCCTGTTCCAGTGCTACCCTGAACAGGCTGACAGTTCCTCGTTATTCTATACCGACTGGGGATCCACCACCTTACCCAGAAATTGCCAGCCAGCTGTCACAGGGCCGTAGCATCACACAGAGGCTGGACAGTAGTATTATCCATGCTACTCTGCGGAGGAACAGCAGAGAGGCAGCTCTGAAAATGGCTCAGTTGGTCGACAGCCAAAGAGCCACTTTACAACATCCATCAAAACCTAAGAGCAATGTTGTGACAGCACAGTACCAGCAGAGGGCACCGACAGCTTTATACACCTGTAGTCAATGCAGCAGCAGCAGTAACAGCAACACAAGTAGCAGCGGTGGTGGGAACATCAGTAATGCCAATGCTAGTAACAGCACTTCCAGTATTAGCAGTATGAGGCCTGACGTAACCACTGGGAGCAGTTCCCAACACAGTTCTGTCCTTGCTCACTCAGTCAGTACTTCGCCCTTGGCCTCCCAGTCCTCATACAATTTGCTGAGCCCACCCGATAACTCTCGTGATCGGACAGATTATATCAACTCTGCCTTCACAGAGGATGAGGCACTTTCTCAGCACTGTCCAGTGGAGAAATCGATAAGGCACATGCCTGTAGCCTTGACAGAGGCTGCCGTTGGTGTGAAGCGGCCACCCCCGTACCAGTGGGACCCTATGGTGAGTGAGGAGATATGGGTTCCTCAGGAAAGGACAGCTCAAAGTTCAGTGCCCAACCCTCTCAAACCTGCTCCTCTAATTGGTCAAGCTCAGCATCTTGATATGTCTCGAGTGCCATTTGTTTCCCCCAAATCTCCAACCAGTCCCACTGCCACTTTCCAGATGAGTTATGGGATTGGAGTACCTTATCCAGGAAGCTACAGTGTCCCTCCTCTCCAGGGAATGCAGGCTCCCTGTTCCCCCAAAGAAGCTCTGGCCCCAACACAGTTTGCACAACAAGAGCCAACTGTAGTACTTCAGTCAGGTTATCCATCTAACCTCTCCTATTGCCCTTTGCCACCCATGTATCCAGGAAGTAGCACTTGCTCTAGTTTACAGCTGCCACCAATAGCCTTGCACCCATGGAATTCCTACAGTGCATGCCCGCCTGTACAGAATTCCCAAGGCACTTTGCCCCCCAAGCCACTTCTAGTGGTGGAGAAGCCAGTTATGTCTCCGCCACCAGCAGAGCTTCAGGGTCACGTGGGCACAGAAGTAATGGTGGAGACAGCAGACACCTTCCAGGAGGTTCTCTCCCTCACAGAAAGTCCCATTCCTCAACGGACAGACAAGTTTGGGAAGAAGAACCGGAAGCGCCTGGATAGTCGAGCTGAGGAAGGAAATGTGCAGGCTATCACAGAGGGCAAGGTCAAAAAGGAGGCAAGGACACTGACTGACTTCAACTCCCTAATATCCAGCCCTAGGCTAGGAAGAGAGAAGAAGAAAGTCAAGAGCCAGAAGGACCAGCTGAAGTCAAAGAAGCTGAACAAGACGAATGAGTTTCAGGACAGTTCAGAGAGTGAGCCAGAGCTTTTTATCAGTGGGGATGAACTGATGAACCAGAGCCAAGGCAGCAAAAAGGGATGGAAAACCAAAAGGAATTTGAGGACAGCCAGTGAGCTGGATGAGTTCAAGTGCCGGAAGGCCAACGAAAAGGAGGATGGGAGGCTGGGAAGCCAGGGCTTTGTGTATGTGATGGCCAACAAGCAGCCCTTGTGGAACGAGGCAACACAAGTGTATCAGCTGGACTTTGGAGGACGGGTGACCCAGGAGTCTGCAAAAAACTTTCAGATTGAGCTGGAAGGACGACAGGTAGGATGGCAGGAGCAATTGCAGTGACAAGCTCCCTTATCTCAGAGAGGGGGTGCTGCACTGTGCTTCTAACTTACACAAATCTTCCTGCGCTTCTATAAAGAGCTTCTTAGTTCTGCTGGTAGCTCTGTGATCAGCAGTTTTTAAGAATGAGGTTCAGTGTTTACGTATATATAATGAAAGCATGTTTATAGCCTTTTCCTGTCAGACCTGGGGACAGGCCCTCTTTTAATCTCACTACTTATCACTTCTAAAGACATGTACTTTTAGTAACAGTCTTAACTTGCAGCATTACAGGGAAAAATCCAATAATTTTGCTCTTAATACTGCAAACTCCAATTGCATCTCAAGTTAGAAATTGCTCATGATAGCTGGTTTGATATCGTTAGTGAATCCCAGTATACACTCACTTTCTCTCTCTCTGTCTCTCACACACTCTCTCCAAATAGATAAGGAAGCAGAGATAGAGATGTGGGCAAGCAACCAGTCTCCCTCCAAACCCCAAATCACTCCCAATGAAGGGTGAACAATAGCACCTGAGAGGAGGCTAGCTGATTCTTCTTTCCAGAGGAGCAGAAGCAATGGCCCTCCCATTGGAGTAGAAGGATCATGTGCTGCTCATGAAGAGGAGGTCTTTAGATATTTCAGAAAACCGAAATCAGAAGAATGAGGTTCTCTCAGTTTGTCCGAGTGAGACATTAATACACCAAAACCAGACCCCAGTGGGCTGCTGACAGTCTAGTATAGGGGCTAAGGCATTGGACTGGAACTCAAGGGAGCTGGGTGCAGTTCCTGCCTTTATCACAGATTTGCCTGTGTGACCTTCAGTCAGTCACTTTGTCTCTCTGCATCTCAGTTTCATATTTGTAAAATGGGAATAGTACTTGCCTCCCTCCCAGGGTGTTCAGAGGATAAAATATGTTAATGACTGTGAGGGGTTCGGATACTGCAGTGATGAGGGACATAGAAATACCAAGATAGATTGTCAGTATAAACCCATGGAAATGTTACTTTGCTCACCTATCTTGACCACTGATACTGTCCAAAAAACAGATGGCTAACAACTTCAGAAGGACAAATACGAAAGCAGTAACATTGGTTTCCACCCAATATGATATATGCCAGTTTCTCTTTCAGCTTGTACTGCCCTTGTCTTGGAGGCCGGGGTCCAGATTTATAGATCCATAGATGTTAAGGCCCAAAAGGGATCATTATGATCATCAGAGAGAGACAGCAAAGAAATAAGCGTGAGTGTCATGTAAGGGGTGTGACCTTTGGCAGGTCTGCACGCCACCACCAGAGATTATAGAGGCCTCTTCATACTGCTCAGGAGCTGTGCTGGGGGAAAGGATGGAGATTGGTGAGCTACAGGGAGATGTGAGCAGGCTGGAGTGATGCAAATTGTCCCCCTTCTGGTCATATAAAAATTAATAAAAAAATATTTTTTTTCCCTCGGAGCTCCCAGCCTATCATTTCCTTGGTGTGCTGTGGCCACATGGAAGCCCTGGTAGCAGTTCCCAAGGAATTTGGAGGGCCCCCAGAGGTGGTGTAGAGTCAAAGGGCCTCTGTGCAGATGGCCCTGACCTTAAGGGACCCACGTGGATCAGAGGAGTTCTGCCAGATTTGGGGCAGGGCCTGCTGTGGCTTTCTCCTGGGAGCAAACTGCCTTCCTGATAGGGTGGTGCAGTGGGATCTCTCTCTGAGGATCCCCTGTGAAGATCCTCCTCTAATTTTTCTGAAGGAGCAGATGATACGGACCTTAGTCCTGACCCAGCATCAATGATTTCAGTGGAGTTAAGTCCGCTTACACCAATCCTGAATCTGACCCTGGGTCTTTTAAGGCTGTGTATTTCCTTGACAGAGTAGATTTCTATGGGCCAGATTGTGACGTCCTCACTCATACTTGGTAGTACTTTGTTCTGCGACTGGCCGCATTGATTTTGTATGGAGTAAGGTACTATTCAGTGTGAATAAGGGTATCACAGTTTTGCTTTTTTCCTTGTTACTTCTTGGTCTCTCCCTTCTATTGACCTCTCGTTCCTTATTTTTTTCCTCCCCTTCACCTTCCACCCTTCCCCAGGTAATGCAGTTTGGAAGGATTGACGGCAATGCTTACATTTTGGACTTTCAATATCCGTTTTCTGCAGTGCAGGCCTTTGCAGTTGCTCTGGCTAACGTGACTCAACGCCTCAAATGAAAAGAGCAGAGACTGGAGAGAGAAAAACCTTCTCCTAATGTCCGAACTGGAAAATGTCAGGGCGGCCTGTTTTAGGTGCACAAAGGCGCCGGGGAGTGAAGAAGGCAGTAAAACTGGAAAAATCTCTTGGTGCCCAAAAGAGGGCATTAACTTTAGTCATAATTGGGGTGGGGGAGATGTTTGTTTGGGTTGTTTTTTTTGTTTTTTTTTAACATCGTGCTGGGGTTTCAGAAAGAGCACCGAGAGAGAGCCATTCAGTGTTATATTGGGAAATGTGGCTTTTGGCTTGTTGTGGTGGTTCTGCTGTGTTTGCTGGAGTAGCTGACGTAAGCTCGTAGGGGGATTAAAAAAGACTGCTCTCTTTGATAGACTGCCTTATATCATGCTGTTCTTTTTAAAACAGGGAACATAACCTTTTTTCTGGTCCAGTTTGTACTACTACATCAGTGATAGCAGGAAAAAAAAAAAAGCTATAATACTTGAAGACACATGTTTCTTCTCTGATCATAGCTGAGCACTGCAGGTACCAAGGAGGTTTATGAAGGTCAATATTTAATTTATAAATACTGATGTATTATTCAGAAGAGAAACAAAACTTACCATTGGATGGTTTCAAAACACATTTCATCAACGAAGTTGGTGTCTGCTTTTTTTCTGTGCTGTTACTTGGGATAAATGTGTTTCACTAGATGATGGAGACCAGAGGCGGGAGGAGTTGTGAGAGTTGCATACATACATGTATAGGTAAGCAGTATTCTTTGATTTGTACTACATGTGTGTAGTACATAATGCAGCCTGGTGTAGCACATGGGCAAGGGCTACACCTCTTCACTAAAAGATGTTTACATATTAAGAACAGAATTGTTAAAATAAATAAAATGGGCCCAGTGAGTAAAATTCTTCTAAATCTATGGTGAATCAGAGCATTGCATTAATTGGGAAAGAGAAAGGCATGTGGTGACAGTAGGGGATTTCTCATCACCGCTGGTTGGAAAAAAGGGAGAAAAGGAAGGAAATACTGGAGAGTACCACCCCTTTCACCCACCTCCTATTTGAGTACATCATTATAGGCTGTTGTTTGAATGGTTAACAGTCCAAAAAAAGAATGGGAAGCCAAAATGTATATAGCTGGTTATGGCTTTTTAATCAACTATATACAGGAACAAGACTGTTTCTAACTGCAAATCTGTCTAATATAAGTCAAAGCCTGTGTTAGGTGTTTCAATGGGTAGAGAGAGATTCTGTTATTGCTCTAGTGCTCTCTCTCTCACACATGCACACATATTTCTCTGTTGAATACAGTTTGATTTGGAAATGCTTCCCCAGTAACACATGAAAACCCTGATCGTTCATTAAATTAAATTCACAATAGGTTGCAAAATGTAACTGTCGATTTCCTTTAAAAATACTCTTTCAAATCAGGACACATTTAGAAAGATGGGGTGGTGGCTGGTTTATCTCTGTCTGTAAACCTCAGTTTTATTCCTTACTAGGAAACCCTTCATAACTTTGTTTAAAACACAAACCATACACCAAGAGAGTAAAATATATCACTGTGATTGTTTGAAATGTCTGTAAAGGTAGGCTAGACTAAGTAGGCTTGATTCATTGCAGGGAACCCATCGGGGGCACAGGACCCCCAGTGGAGGAAGGGATGCAGCAGCTCCCTGGCTCCAACCTCCACTGGGACTCTGAAGCCAGACAACACAGGCTAGGTAATGCTGGCCAGAGACAGGTTTTGACAAGGATATCTAGGGATGTGCTGATTCAGATGATCTCCCGGGCAACCTCCACCAGTGTGGCCCCAGAAAGACCCACCTGCAAGATAATACTGTCCTTCTGTTATGGAGCCCCTGGGGAGGATGGTGGTATAATCCCTGTATCATCTTGGGGCTCAGCAGTCTCTGCTTGCACATGGGAGTGGATCAAGCCCAATATTTCCCTTGGCATTAACTCTTCTATTTGCTTTTATGTATTCACTTTTGTTGAAACCCATCAATTAGGTGTATATCTTTCTGTTAGAGAGGAACCCCACCTCCACAGTTATTTAGTAGCTGATTTTAGTGACAGCTTCTGGAGTGTGTGTGGAGGAGGAAGTAGACCGAAATCAAATGGACTTGGTCCTGCTGACTTTGAAATCAGTGGGAGTTTGCCATTGACTTCAGTGGGAGCGAGATTGGGCCCCAAGTCAGTGCAGAATTACATGCTGTTTAGGAAACAGGCTTATTTCTTACTCACACGATTTCAGTGGCACTACCCATATGAGTGAGGATTGCGGGGCTTGACCCAATGGTGCTCCTGAAGAGATCCTAATAGCTCTAATTAATCCCATAAGCAAGTCATAAGCAGTATTGGAATATTGAGACGTGTGCACTGAACACGTTGAGGCCAAAAGCACATTGATTCATTTCTTCTTTTAGGAGGACAGGTGTTCTGTTGCTTTAGAGAAATAATCCTCTTAAAGAGACATTGTCAACTAGTTTTAGGCCAAGAATGCAGATTTAATGGAATTAAGTATGTTTGCACATGTGTGCTCAACATACCTCATCCAAACAGAAATGTTTTCATACTGCTGTTTTCTTTAACTTTCCAGGCAAAGATTTGTCGTTTTTTTTTTTTTTTTTAACATTCCCCTGCAGTGTTATGAACCAAATTAACAGCAGAAATGTGCAAATGCAGGAAAACCAGAAAGCAAAAGTGGTGAAAACTTAAGTGAAACTTGCCAGTCTAGTTTTATTATCCAGGATCCATTGGTATTTGGTTCTGGTAGCACACACAGTGTCTTGGAGCTTTCCAGACATAGAAGAAGAACTTGTTCCCACCTCACGGAAGCACAAAAACAAACAACACAAATGGTGAAAATGGTGATTTCTAACTTTCTTTCTGTTTTTATGTTATAAGGTAAAGAGTTTTTCTTCTGTAAGTATGTTGACAGTGTCCCTTTAAGGCAACAGTTTAATGGCATAAAGACTACCTACGGTTAGGGACAGATTTTGCCCTCAATTAAGTATACACAATTCCTGCTGAAGTCAATTGAGTTGTATATATGTATCTGAGTGTACAATTGGGTCCTAAATTATGAAGACAGCAGGTCACAATGGTCATTCTCTTTTCTTTTTTTTTCTTTGTATGTTGAGAGAAAATTTAAGAAACAACTTTAAAAGCCCTCCAAACTAATACTTCCACTAGGATGATTTTAATCATGAAGATTGCTGTTGCATTCAAGCCAAAACACTAATTTTACATTTTATATTTAAGTTTTGCAACCTAGTTTTTGTGTAGACAATTGTAAGTTCTTCTAGGAAGAAAATGGCAACATGTTCTGAATTACCTAATTCTTTTATACATACAATAGTTTCCAGTAGTTCAATATGGTTTTCAAAAGCTTTTGTTTTTAGTTGTGCAATAATTGTTAAGCCAAAGGGCTTACGTTTTGTTGTTTGAGGGGTTGCGTTATTTTTTAAAGATAATTTAATGCAAATTTCCTGTTAATGTCGGAGTCAAATTATTTATCTTGCTTAATGTAATAAGTGATTTAGGGATTATTTTATTACTATGTACCAGTGAGTTATACACACTTTCTTATTTATATGAAAAGAGGATCTTTGTAATTAATTGTTTGCTAGCAATATGTTTTGCTGCAAGAATTGTTTAAGAATGTGTATAGGACAACTTTTTTTGCTGGACAATATTCAACATTTTATAATGTAGGGAAGAATCTTGTTTATCAGGCAGATGGAAAAAGCAGATATGCTATTGGGGATTCTGTAGACTACATACAGTGTAGATTTTGGGGGGGGGACCTGCAGAAATCTGTCCTCTATACTGTGTATTTTCCCATTGTGTTTTAACTGGCTTTTCAGTTACAGAGATGGTTTAAAAAACACAAATCATGATTTGCTTTATCTTTTCTTAGAGCTAGCCTTGGTTTTGGGGTACAGAATAGAGGAGGGTTCATGTATAAAATAAGTGTTTTATATATGGCTCACTTTGGGTGACATTCATCTCTGTGCAGAGGGCCTAGTACACAGCCTGTGCATCACTGAAATCCTAGTTAAGGGGCCAGATTGCCTGTTGTGGTCAAGCTCTGCTCCTGTTACAGCTCCCTGATTCTGAGGCTAATCTGAGCTGACACCAGCCCTGGGAATGCTTAGAGTAGCTGAGAAGCTTTAATTGGCCCTACAGTGGAGGATAGGCAGAGCGGAGCACCTTTACACCAGCAGTGACTTCCCCTATGCCAGGGGATTTCCCTGCTGGCCTATTTGCAGCCAGAATCCATCCCCATTGCACTGCCTGAGTGGCACAAAGGGGCCAGATTTCATTTGACAATTTGGCTCTAGCCCTCAAAATGTGGTGTAAGTGGGTCCAAAAAATAATACACAGACCTTGTCGGCCCTCTGCAGAGGAGTGAATTTCATCCTGAAAACCCCTGGTACTATTCAGCAGTAGTACTATGGTTCTAGAATAGCAGAAATAAATAGGGGAGGGAGATGAAAGTACCATAAAGGAAAATTATTGGGTCAAGTTAATAGTTTTACATTCATTCCCAGAGCAGGCAATGGCAATTTCCATATGCAGTCAGAATGATTGTGCGTATTAGTAGCTGTACAGTAAATTTGCACTAGGGGCCACCTCAAATAGGTAAACTCCATCTTAACCAACCTCTTTGAAGTATCCCCAAAGTTTACAGTCCACTTCTGTTCCATGTTTCAATGAAGATTCACTGCCACTATGAGGCAATCAGACTTTGCTTGTGCTTTGAGTTGTTGCTTCAGATAATTTGAGTGCAGTTTTTTCTGAAGTCTGGTTTTTGTGGCTATGTTACATCTGGGTGCCCAATGAGCACTTAGCAACTGTGTAAATCTTCATCTGAAAGGTGAACATGGTGGAGGAGCAGCTTTGACAAAAAAGAGAGAAAAATTTGGCTTTTACTAGCTTGAAAGATGGTGTTTGCCAGAGCAGTAGTTAGTTGCACTATAATAAAAGCAGCTATTTCTGCAGGGCACAAACTACTCTACACTGGCAACCTAGTGCTAGGTTGCCAACACAGAGTCCTATTGACTTTAGTACAATCCTGTATGGGCACAAGGGTCTTCACGCATGAATCCTTCTCCGGGATCAGGGCTTAAGGCTGTTGCTACATGTATCACACTGGAGTGAATTAAGCTATATTACCATCTCCCAGGAATGGTCTCAAAGGGGAATCGTTTTAAGATTACATTTTTTCCAAGTGTGCACAAATACACAATCACACACACAAACTTTAAGGATTAAAAACTCCAACCCAGCACTGAGCATTGCATGTTGAGAAAGAAGTTTTAGGAAAGAATTGCTTTGGGGGTTTGATTGTTTTGGGCTGTATCTGTGCAAATAGGAAAATATAGCAAGAGCAGTTAAAGTAAGAGGACAAAGGAGGAGTCACTGAAGCAATTTTTATTAAAATTAAAAAGCAACAACTCTAGGCCCATAATTCCACAAATGTGTCCATGCAGGCAGCCTCCTGCACTATACAGATTGACTTGAATTGGGCTCTGCAAGGGTCTCTCCACACAGATACAATTGAACAACTGGGACTATTATGACTTTGTGGGATGAAAGACAACCCCAAACCACTTCTCTCTCCAAAATGTGCACAGAAAAATTGGATTCATAATGGTAGACGGATGTAAAGGCTCTGTAAATGTTCCTAATTGTTCCCCTCCAATTTACACTAACTCCAAATTTAAAAATAAAATCTGATACAGGAGTTTTGGATAGTGACAAAGCTGTCTGTCTGTCTGAATGTTTACTTTGTTGGCCAGATAACTGATTGTGAAAAGATGGTCAGGTTAACATTGGTTCAAATAATAAAAGTGTTAAGATTAAAAATAATAATAAAACCAAGAGAAACATTTTCGTATAATGTTAGCAGATGATTGCGTTTTCAGTATTTCATCAAAATAGTGCTCAGCATAGTTCGCATCAATCTGTTATTTCTGGTTCCTTGTTGATAAGACTTGTAATTTTCCTTTCTTTTCTTTTGTTAGCTTGGTCTATGTTTTGCCTTTTGCTTCCTATTCTTTTTTTCTTACTGCGTTTTTCTCTTTTCTTTGTGGGTATGTATGTGTGTGTTGGGGGGGATGGTGTTTAAGATCTCGTTTGTTGTAGATACAAAATATGTAGTGTTGTTGAATCGCATGGGGATGCATTTGATTGAAAAAGGCACGGTAGTATTTCCTGAAAAAGGTATTTTTTTGCATTTGTTTATAAATGCATTATTTTGGTACTGTAACTTTGGACATTTTTTCTGAAGCTATTACTACTGTTTTTGGCTTTATTTTTTTTAAACAAGTGTGCAGTCATGCGGGTGCCGAGATCCCTAGCCAAATGACCCAGCATGTTCTTTTCAAGCCTTCTGGGAAATTGGTACACTGCTGCGTACTATTACATAGGTACACTATTTTAAAAACATCTTTCTGGAAATGTTGAGGTTTTTTTAAATATGACATTCAGAACCAGGTTTTCATTGTAATTATAGACTTACCCTGATCTGCCTCTCCTTTTATGTATCTTGTGTAATAGAGTGTACGGGTGGTACCTAGAAAGCATTACTGGTTTCCCTTTAATAATGTGGTTTGTCCAAATTCTTTACTGTCTACACGATTGAGAGATGGACTGATAGCCCTATTTTTCCTTGATGATTTGGAGTTGTAAGAGTTGTCCAGCTGTTGCTTAATAAAATTTTGCAGACTAGAAAATCTATGACTCGTTTGTTGTATCTTGCTTCTTGTTGAACATCCCGAATGCTTTTAAAACAGGAGACTAGTCTTAATCAGAAATACATTAATATTCCAGAGCCAGCTTTCTTATCATTTGCTCTCCTGAACAACTACATCTCTAGACTGGGATTTCCCTGCCCATCATTCCTGCTGTCATTCATGTAGGAAGATGAAAGACAAAGAGTTTTTACAATAATGTTCTACTGTGCTTGGATATTAGGCAGTTTGCTCTTAATTGAAGGAAATTACATACGGGATTTATGTTGTTTTTCTTATTGCCACTTATATACTGGAAACTTTAATGTTACCTCAAATGCTCTCATCTTTAATAAATACAAATGCTATGATGGCTGGTAGTGTGCCTCTGTTGTCTTTTTTTTTTTTTTTAATTGAAAAACAAGCAATGGGCAAAAATAAGACTAAAGTGGATTACCTTGTTTTGTGGTGCTAATATTTATAAAACATTAAATGTGAACTACAGTACAAAGTGTAACAGGGCAGGGCTTTTTAAATCCACTCCCTTGTATGTCACTGTCCAGTGAGAAGGACCTGCAGTCCCACATCATCATTAACTTCTGCAGATTTTCAGCTTTTTAAAAAATTCTTGAGCCCTTATGGTTGCAAAGATAACCTTGATCCAATTGTAGCCTGATGCAGTGTTGTCTGCCGAGTCTGCAGACAGCTCTAGTGTTTATGCTACTGTAGTTTCCCCAAGAATCAGTGGAATCAAATAAACAAGACTTTAGTCCCTTTCACCACTGCAGTTCAGAAATCTGTGGTCAGCAGTGAAACTGACAGGAATCATTTCACCCAGAGAACTGCATTGGAGGAAGCTGCTGCAATATAGAGAGGGGAAGAGGACCCAAGGATGGTGGCCAAACAGGGATGGAGGCTAGGCAGGTCCTCTTTGCCAGCCTCTGAACTTGGGAAAAAAGAAAGAAAAACTCCCTCTCTTAGCAACCAGATGGAGGTAAGACAGTTTCAAATTTATCATGCACCCATTAGCCAAAGACTGTCTAAGTGTTCAGGAAAAGCATCCTAGTAAGAGTCCAAGCACCTTCTGCATTCCCATCAGATGGGAATGAAGAGCTCCAGTGGATCCCCTTGTGTATATTTGTATGTCTCTCTCTTTGTATTTGTTGTAGACAGTAGTGGCATTAAGTCTATGCCATCTAAGTGGACACATAGAGTCCTTTGCCTTCAGTGCCCTCTGGTTACACCACCTGATCAAGAGGTTGTTGGGGGTGAGATCACAGACACAGAGGTGGGAAGGGCAGTTGCAGGTGGAGAGGGAGCTGGATTGGGCAGCATTTGTCTTCAGATAGGGACTACAAATCCTACAGCTGCCCTGATTGTAGTAAACCTGTATTTATGATTAAATACTTAATATGTAGCCCACAAGTCAAAATGAGTGATTTTCTAGATCAGTTCTCTAGTAGTAGTGATCATCAGGTTATACACTCTATCTCAGTGTGGCTGGCATACTATTTTGCTAAGATTAGTGTTAACAGTGAAATGAAAGGAGACACCCTGCCTTCATTCTTAAATATTTTAAATTATTTGACAGCATTTAGCGATACTGTTGATACAGCATGAATGAGACAGGCTGGGGAGCTAAAGGATTGCCTAGTTGTGGAAGGAGCTGCATGATGTTATAAAAGGAAAAACAGCAGCTTCCACCAAGTGAGGTTCATTTCAGACCCTTTATCCAGTTCCTCATCCAGGACAGTTGTGTGTTCTCTATTTCTTATTTTCTCTTCTGTTCACAAGAGGCTATTTTTTGCTTGACCAAAAGGCAACCTATTCATCCTTGAAAGTGGTTTTACTGTGTTGCAGCCCCTGATATGTTCATCCTTTCCAGCTTCACCACGTACTTCCCCTGGACAAAGAGGAAAGCCATACAAGTTACATTTTAACTACCATAAATAACATGTCTTTGTTCTCCTTCTTTCTGATTGCTTTCCAGTTGGATGGCTTTTCCCCCCCTCAAAACAAAGGTGTCTTTGTTCCCTTCAGTGCATAGCTTTGGTGAGATTAATGTCTTCCTTTTGCCTTGACTACTCTGCTGTGTGACTCTTTGATTTCAAAGCCATTTAAGTCATCTGTTATTTTTTGTAAACTGAAATAAATGTTTATCTTGGAAGAGAGGCATCCACAACGTGTAGAAGATGTAACGGTAATAACATTTGTCCAGGTGCAGCAAAGGAAAGACACTAAAGATAACATAGAAGATATAGTGGCTTTTCTCCCAACTCTCGGAGCATTCAATTAAAAGGACTCTAGGATAGTGGACCCAATCACCAGGCAGAGACAAATAATCAGCTATGCCCAGTTCAGTCTGTAGCCCTTTCCTCAGGGCTCTGTTTAGTCTTTAACACACACACACACACACACACACACACACACACACACAAAAGGGAAATTGGAACAACAACAAAAAGCAACAGTCCTGTTCTTTAGCTCAGATTGTGAAGCCCTCTGCCTCCAATAGCTTAATGTGCTGAACCTTCCCAAGCCTAAGGGCATCTGCAGGGCTTCCCTGTCCTCTCTCAGCCTTCTGCAGTAGCCACAGGAGAGTGCACTCCCAGTCCTCTCCTGGTCACAGCCAGTCTCCTGGGGCAGGAGCTCTCCTTTGTATCCCTGGCTGGGAATTCTCAGACCCGAGCACTAGATTCTGTCCAACTGGGTCTGATGATTCCCAGCAGCTGCTTGTGGGCTCCTCTCCAGAACAGGGCTGGCCCCTCCGCAGTCCCACGGCCCCTTAAAGGGGCAGATTGCCCTGTGACAGACTCCTTTGTATAACTAGTATGATTCTGGTTTGTTTTTTTAACTGACCTTTCCATTTCACAGGTTAATTTACTCTTTGATGAAGAAAACATGCATGGTTTCAACACATCTCTGGGCTGGATCTAGCCTTGAGCTGAATACTGATCACAGGAATCCGTGCCTTGAGGATTACAGATGATGCAGTCAGGGTGGATAAAAATCAATGATTTTTTTTTTTTTTAATTAAAAAGGGTTTTTTTTTATTTAAATTGGATTTTTTTGATAAAATGCTTTTTGAGGAAAAAAACCTATCTAAAGATAGTTTTAATTAAGATACATTATAGCTCAAAGATCTCATAATGGAATAGGGATTATAAATTCTAATTCTATAGTATGAGACAGTATATTCATGTAATGTTTAAGAAAAGTTTTGTTAATGAGTTCCAATAGTTCATGGATTAGGGACCCAATTTTATGGGGTCCCAGGGGCTTCTGTCTAGAATATTTAGGTTAATATTTCTATCTACCCAATGGGACTCAGTGCTCAGTCTAGACCAGTGTTTCCCAAACTTGGGACGCCGCTTGTGTAGGGAAAGCCCCTGGTGGGCCGGGCCGGTTTGTTTACCAGCCGCATCCACAGGTCCAGCCAATTGCGGCTCCCACTGGCTGCGGTTTGCCGCTCCAGGCCAATGGGAGCTGCTGGAAGCGGCGGCCAGTACGTCCCTCGGCCCGTGCAGCCCCCATTGGCCTGGAGCAGTGAACCGCGGCCAGTGGGAGCCGCGATCGGCCGGAACTGCGGACGCGGCAGGTAAACAAACCGGCCAGGCCCGCCAGGGGCTTTCCCTACACAAGCGGCGTCCCAAGCGGGAAACACTGGTCTAGACGATACCATCAGAGATGCTTAGTTTTGCAGTTCTCAAACTGTGGATTTGTGTCTCCAGAGATAACATGCTTCTTAACAGCAAAAATGTTTTTAAATAAATAATATAGAGGTGAGAAATAACAGACCTCATTCCTATTGTCCCTCTGCAAATT